AAACAGCAGCAGAGTGACCATACGAGCGCACGCGAAATTGTGGAACACATTTATATGGGCAGAGATGAGACAAGGATGGCGGGCAGAGAGGGGCGCCATTGTGTGCTCCTCGTCCTCCTTTGCCTCTCCTCGATTACTTAGCGCCAAAGTTCGGGAGGGCAACGTGCTGGCCAGAGCATATCATCAGCTAGCCGACGCCTCACTGTGGGCTGCGCGTATGGTGGGGTGCTGGTTGCTTGACGCTGTATGTGTGTCTTGTCCCGTGGTTTGTGGTTGAGAGAGCGCCTGTGTGGTCGGTCAGTGTCATGTGTGTCTTTTGTCCGCACCGATGGATGCACTGAGTGGATGCCCGCACTCCAGCTATTTCGCACGAGACACGATCAAGACGGACAATACTCCCGTCGTCCCTTGCGTATGTGCACCCGGTTTCTTCAAGCTTTTGATCGAAGCCACTCTAGACGACAACACAGTGGTCCATGTGGCCATCACGTGATATATATTGAAACGTCATAAGCGAATAAAAGGCAGAGGCAACACGACACGTCGACACGCAGAGCGTCTGTTGGGTAGGTACTGTTTTGTTTGTGCGTCGCTGGGGAGCGATGCACAGGCAGGGAGGCAGCCACACAGCACAACAGAGATGTCAGCATCACATCAATCACATCACACCGGCAGACGCCACAAACAAGCTTGAAAGAATCGGCGGCAGACAGGCAGCGCACACACACTAACGTCTCTCTCACGCAAACGCCTCTCTGCTCTGCCACACCACACCACACCACACCACACCACTTCGCGTCAGAGGCCCACACCCACCCGCACTCGTGCACATGCAGACAGACAGACAGACAGACAGCCATCCGCCACTCATCGGTGAGTGAGTGACACACGAGCATCCCTCCCCTCTCGCCCTCAGCCACTGCCTGTCTGTGACAGACAAAAGGCCGCTTGACGACAGACAGTGTCGCACACAGGCAGTCAGGCAGGTAGACGGCTACGAAACGAGTGCATGTCATCAAGTACCACGATCAGTCAGTCCGCCCCACTCCCACAAGATGATCGATCGGGCTCACTGCCACAAACACAGCCGGAACGCCCACACCACACGACACGACACGACACGACACGACACAAGGAAAATTGGCTGCTGCTACTGCTGCTGGGCGGCGAGTTGCTGCTTGGCGGCATCCAGCTCTTCCTGCAGCTGCTTGTTCTTGGCCCGCAGCTGATCGTTCTCGGCCTGCAGCTGCTTGTTCTTGGCTTGTTCGGCGGCGAGTTGCTTCTTGGCCGCATCCAGCTGTTCACGCGCCTGATCTCTCTCGGCCTGCAGCTCATCGAAACGGTTGCGTACATTCTCACACAGCGCTTGGAAGGTCTGTGTGTCGCGCTTGATCTTGGCCTCCAGCGCATCGAAAGCGTTCAGCTATTTCTGTATCTGATTGGCCTCGGCATTCATCTTGGCCTTCAGCTCAGCTGCAGCTTGGAGAGCTTCTTTCTGTGCAGCGTGTAGGGCCAGGAGAGCTTCTTTCAGTTGTGGGTCCAAGAATTGGATCAGCTGGTTGAATTGTTGTGTGTCGCTGCCCTGGTCCATCTTCTGGGAGTCGGTGTGATCGAGGGAGGGATGGAAGCAGCACCTACACACAGTCACCAGAGACACACAGAGAGGTAATCGGTTTCTGACAAGCGGGTGCGCAGCAGTGGCCCTGAGGTGCGGAGTGCTGTCCGAGTGCAGGTCAGCTCACTTGAGGCACCGAGGGCGTCAGGAGCGGCTGGAAGGCACAGAACGCGACGAAGCCTGAAGTGACAGGCAGGCAGGCAAAAGCATTGATGCGGTGGGATGGGTGAGTCTCCTGGTCGTCTGTCCTCTTGAAGATCTGCCTGGCTGCACTCTCACTCCCTGTCCCTCTCACCTTCTGCTTGGTGGGGCGGGCGGCGAGACCACAAAGATCAAAGCGGCACGATGACCGACGAAGCAGCAAGTTTGACGTGGCTGCACAGCGCGTCAAGGATTGGGATCTGTGTTTCGGCTATAGCTCGCCGACTGCTCGACGCACCGCAACGCTGAGCAGCGCAGCAGCAACAACACGGACGATGAGCATCTGATCAAGGACAACCACACCAGCCACAGCGACCAACAGAGTCAGCAATGATCTCATCGTCTGTCTGGTCTGGCTGTCAAGGTGTGGAGGGCGAGGCCGTCCGCCGTGCGGTTCGGTGGTCCTTTTGGCGTGCCGCGTGACACGACTGAGCAGCAGCAGGGCCATGACCAGCAGGCCGACAGCCAAGGCAACCCAAGGCATTGAGAAGGAGAGACCGGAGACCACCCTGGCTGGCCCCCATGGATGCGATGCGCCTCTGTGGCATCCGGCGGCTGGTGTGCCATGCATTGGATGCCGTCAGCCCCGACGCTCAGCTCAGCTCAGCTGCACTGCTGCGGGAAGACCTCAGCGACTTTTCTCGTCTCAGCTGGTGGGAGCGAGTCGAAGTGCAATTCAGAGCCACAGAGGGGAATGAGCCACGTCGGAGAGGCCAATGAGATGCTCCAGGGGCCATCAGACAGCAGGGGATGAGCACCAGGTGAGAAGAACACAAGTCAGCACCGACGAAGAATCTCGTGACTGCTTCGGTTTTGGTTGTGTCTGGCAGGCCCTGGCCTGTCGAGGGAATGACTGCAGCAGAATGCTCATTGAGGTGAATCACCGAGCTAAGCTCGCAAAGCCATCGGGGAGGGGGAGAAGTGCGAGGTGTGGGGCGAGCACTTCACCAAGGGCATGGACCGGCCGGCAAACATGCCCAGCGGTGTGTGCGTGCGCGACGAGGGGCTGCTGGTGCTGGGCTGCCCGTTCGGCACGTCGGGTTTATGGAACGGCACTTCGCCAAGGTGCTCAAGAAGACCCAGCACCTTATCGACAATCTGCCTCAGCTGGA